TACCTGGTGGAAGAAATAGAGTTACAAGTCCAGGAAGCGCAGAGAACCCCAAACAAGAGGAATCCAAAGAGGACCACACCAAGACACATCATAATTAAAATGCCAAGGGCAAAAGACAAAGAGAGAATCGTAAAAGCAGCAAGAGAAAGACAGTCAGTTACTGTGCCAAGCCAGCTCAGTCAAGGGTTCAAAAGCCTGAGGGCGGCGAATGGATGAAGAAAAGACAGACAAAGAGAATAAGCTGGGTCTAGGTGAGTGATGGCGAACCTATGACATGCGTGTCAGAGGTGACACGCAAATTCATTTTTTTGGTTTTGTTAAATGGCATTTAAATATATAAAATAAATATCAAAAATATAAGTCTTTGTTTTACTATGGTTGCAAATATCAAAAAAATTCTATATGTGACACGGCACCCGAGTTAAGTTAGGGTTTTTCAAAATGCTGACACACTGAGCTCAAAAGGTTCACCATCACTGGTCTAGGTGGATCTTCCTGTGCCTGGCTGAGGCCACAGAGAGAGATCCAGAGGCAAGCTGAGCCTTTATTTTATAGTCAGAGGTAAACAAGGTAGTGGTTACCATAGTTACACTATTCTTGTGAGTTTCACTTGTTTTGGCAGCACTTGCTGCACCTTCCACAGCCCATTAGCTACCTAGGAAGGATCTAGGGAGCATCATAAGGTCAAGCCTAATTATGCTAAGAGGACTGTGCCCTCTAAGCTGGGACTTGTTTGTGGCTTTGCCAACAGGTCAGTCCGAGGCTTAACCCTATTATAGCCGCACTCTACAAATTACCTAGAAGGAAGTGCCCATATGATTGTCAGCTGATTTCTCAACAGAAACTATGCAAGCCACAAGGGAGTGGCAAGAAATATTCAAAGTGATGAATAGCAAGAACCTACAACCAAGATTACTTTACCCAGCAAAGCTATCATTCAGAATTGAAAATGCTGAAGGGTATTCTTTAAAAAGAGGAAGAAGAAGAAAAAGATAAAAAATATGAACAACAAAGTGACAACAAATACATATCTATCAACAACTGAATCTAAAAATCAAATGAATAAAAAATCTGATGAATAGAATAAAGTGGTGAATGGAATAGAATCAAGGGCATGGAAATGGAACAGACTGATGATACTCAGAGGGGAGAGGGTGTGGGGGGGGAATGCGGGAAGAGATTAGAAAAAGATCTTATATGCATGTAAGCATTACATATGGATATAGACAATAGGGTGGCAATAGCCTGGTGTGGGGTGAGAACCAGGTAGAAGAAAGCTATGGGGGGTTGGGGGGGAGATGGACATCTGTAATAATATCAACAATAAAGATTAAAAATAAAAATCTATGAAGACCAAAAGGAAACAACACAAAAGGGAAAAAAAGAGTCAAACAGTATGGTGTTTATACAGAAACAGCAAATATCTCCTTCTCTGCCACCCGCAACTTCCCAGAGGTACCTTCCCTTAGGCACCATTAACAATGCCTTTGTTTTCTCCCAGACATATTGTAAACATATATCAGGAAATATAATTTTTATTCCACAACAATGAAGCACATATTAGACTTACCATTGTACCACCTGGTTTTCCAATAAACAGTATTTCTTGGACACCCTTTCATCACATATACCTACTTTCTGATAGCTAGAGAGTTAAAAGTTTTAACCCACAATGTATGCTACTAGAAGCCAGTGTAAGAGCCCTGATTATAGTTAATGGAAATTCTGAAGTCCAAGAAAGAAGAACCAAACAGAGATTAGATTCCCCAGACAATTAAAAGGAAAAATAGAATTTAGATACAGAAGTCAGGCTACCAAAACCAGTTCCAGAGAGAAATTTGTAGTGTAGTCATGAGTTACAGATGCAGTTCACAGAGGCCAAGAAAGGGGTTCTGAACCCAAAACAAAGAAATGGTAAATTAGGACATTCTGAAGACATAGTCCAAGAAACTCCCGATAGAGTCAAGGGTCAGATACCTTTAAAGATTTTATGCCAAAATTGAGATGTTGCAGGGTGGGGCACCTTAACTATGAAGGACCTTGGAAATCAAAGGAAGGAGTAAAAAGAGGCTACTCAATTTTGGACTGTAAAGTACAAAATAAAATTATTTAGAAAAAAAGAAAAGTGTCCCCAATTTGCTGGAGATGGAGTAAGAAGCATCAACTGTGTGAAGAGGCAAAATAGTTGCTCTTTTCTCTTTTATCCAGACGTGAATAATGTTAACTACTAACAGAGTAAAATAAGGCTAGGTTCCTGTAATGGAGCTCATGAACACATATACACCCTAAAATGTCTTGATCTAACAACAGCAGGGCACTTAAACTTACCGGTAATGCACTGCAGTTACAGTATGAGAGAAGACAGGGGAAAGGGGTAATAAGCTTCAGAGTTGAGACCTCGCTACAAGAAGTGAGCTTCCTTTTTAAAGAGCCCTCCTGAGTAGTAAGAGCAGCGAGACTAAGTAAACCAAATCATGGGTTTCATTACACACCACCCTCACAGCCCCCAAGAAATACAAACATACCTCATGCCAATCAGCAAAAGCGGCAATACATGGGAATGAATAGACCCTGTAAAACACTTCACAATTAAAAAGGTAATAATATGGATGGAACCCATGCACCACCTACAGATGTTCTACAAACAAGCATTTATAACTAGGGGGTGCCATCAAGTCTCTTGGTACAAAGTATGGAAGAGGACCTTAAACCTGCAAGTGGAGATCCATTGTGGCTAGATTTCAAGTCTCCATCTGTTAGCCTACAAGCCAGGTTTACCAATACTCTATCTCTGCTCAGTCACTTGGCAAAATCCCCAATGAAAGGAGTGAATTTAGCAAATATCTTTTCATCACGTACTTTACTGTCCATAATACACCTGTTCCTAGTGGCCTCAAGTCTGTAGGGGATCACTCTTCATAAAATCTTCCCAGAGGACGTAATGTTTAAAATACTCCAAATCATAAATATGCTAAAAGACTGATAGAGATTATTTTTCAAAACACAAATGAATCAATAGGGAGAATGTGTCTAATCTTCTGAGGTTTCTACTCAATAACTCTGTAGTACTCAATAAATTATGTATCCTATATTCTGTCATAAAATAAAATAAAATAAAATAAAATAAATCCTAGATATTTTTTACATTGGACATTTTCAAATACATCTAGCCAATAAAATAATGCTCAGAGAAACATCTTACCTTCTTTGGTCACCAAGTCTGTTGTTTAGGTAATTGAGAAACAGCCTACTGTCCTTCAAAGTAAATAATGCAAGTTTTTAAATAGAACACCAAGATGTCTTAGTTAAGTAGTACTACTCTCACCAGCATGTAAGGGCCAGTGTGTGCCTCTAAATTTCCAGGATCTAGTAATATCACAAAGCTTCACAAGGATTCATTAGTATGTGCTAACTAAAATAATACTTTGTGTCACAAAGAGGAGGCTCCAGACATGTTCTAGAAGGAGTCCCCCAGCCAGGAGATTTTCAGCTGAGGAATGTGTAGGTCTCCGAAAGTTACATGCACAATTACATTTCTCCTGGTTAGAAGAGTAGCAATAGAAATACATCTTACTGATGAGCTGTATTACAATATGTGATTAACCCACTGGGCATCCATTTCCCTAACATCTGCCCAGCACAAGCCAACCACAAACCCATAAAACTTACTGACTTTGGGTTTACCTGGGTATATTATCACCTGCCAATTTTCCTTATCCAGAATACTCTTTCCTGCTACTTCTGAGTTTTCTCTCCCAGTATATGTTCTAAGAATAAAGAATATTTTTTAGAGTTCTCCTATCCAACAGCTATTAGGAAGGTAAATGTGTTGCCTCCAAAATTCAAAAGCCAAAGAGACTCCGATCCAGGCATTTTGTCCCTTTTGTCAAAGTGAAGACTGGCTGTTGTCTTCAGTCCTTAACCTCTGTCTATATTCAGCATGAACTAGACAACGGTAATCTAAACCTTCATATAAAAACAGTTCAATTAAGAAGTTGATGGCTCTGGAGTGGGGGGTATGACTTAAAAACCAAGATAATTACTTTTGTCTTGTTTTCATCTAATTTCCATGCAGATGAGGGCATGACACAGAGGAGAAAAGAAACTAACATCTGAGTGTCCACAACATGCCTAGCACTTTCATTTTCTCTCATTTAATCCTCTAAATATTGAGATCAGTTCCATTTTCATTTTACAGATGAAGACACTCAGGTTTCTCCTAAATCAACTTGCCAAAATGCAAGCATCAAAATACATATAAATCAGGAAGGTGGGACTCCCGGGGCTCATGTGTTTCTATACAGATCAAACTAAATCCTGACTATTGCCGATCTGGCCATAGGCTCAAAGTCAAATATACTATATTTAATTATATATTTAAAGGTTTAGATTTAACAGAATCCTAATTGCATAGCCATTTACCAAAAAGCTTTTGTTCACCATGAATACAGCTATAAAGAATTTTACCTTTTCCGCCCTGGCTGGTGTGGTCAGTGGTTAGAGTGCCAGCCCAAGAACTGAAAGGTCTTGGCTTCAATTCCAGGTCAAGGATACGTACCTGGGTTGTCATTAGCTTCCCGCACCCCCACCCCCGGTCAGGGCACATGAGGGAGGCAGGCAACTAATCAATTTGTCTCTCTCACATTTCTTTCTTTCTTTCTCTCTCTCTTTTTCTCCCCCCTCCCTTCCACTCTCTCTAAAAATCAATGGATAACGTATCTTCAGGTGAGAATTAACAACAACAAAAATAAATATAGATTAAACAGAATTTTGAGGACCAGGAATCGCACCGTTTCAAATTCGTGATCCTTAATTTTTTTGAAAGCTTCAGCAATGACGTCATCCTCAAACCACTGATGGACAAGGTCATCCCTTGATTTTTTAGTTGTCAGTCTACACAATGCTTCAGAAAGAGCAACCTGCTGGCCATAATCTAGAGATTAAAAACATGGCAGACATGGGTAATTCTAGGCTCAAAGCAAAAGAAGAAATGAGTTCCAAAGATTAGCACTTGCTCTAAGAAATTCCATCTTAGAAGCCTAGCATTGTCTTATAAGCAGCAAACTGTATCCGGGAGTAATTACAATCATTTAAATTCAATATTTAAGAAATAGGAGAAAATCTAAACAGTAGGTCAGCATATAACAATTTTAAATAAATATCTTTGCATTTTATATTACATATATTAAACATTCATCAAAAGCAGCTCATCAAATAGCCTTTAAAAAATACTTCTACTACAAAGATTAAATTTCAAGACTGATTGTGGAATTTCACAGAAGATTAATAAAAACTACATATATCAACATGTTTAAATCTCAAATAATTCTAAGGATAAAAAGGAAGTTGCAGCTGTATATGTACCTCAGGATGAGATTTAGAAAATGCTTTTAAAATCGCAAAACAATAATGTATGTTGCTTTTGAATACATAATGAAAAAGTAAAACAATATACTTAAGAATGAAAAACAAATCCAAGTCAAAGATTACCTCCACCAATAAAGAGGGGATTGGGAACAGTGTCATGGACCCAGATTTAGTTTTAAAAATATTTGAAACGAATGTGGCAAAATGATAATATTTGATAAAGCTGGTTGGTGAGTAAATGAGCATTCTTTAATTATTCTTTATGGTTTTTAGCATGCTGAAGTTTCTCATAGTAAATGAAAAACAAAATCCTAATTCTTATTTTCAATTTGGCCATAATTTATTCCCCATAGTTTCAAGATGCTTAAAAACAAATAATCTAATGTCCAATATTTAATATTCTTATATTTAAAATTCTAAACATTTCTTACCACCCACAGTCAAGATTGTTCTTGCAAAATCTTTCCTGAAAAACATTTAGATAAAACTGCATTTTACAGATATGAACCTAAGTAGGCAAAACTTCACTCTATTGACATTAGAATTTAAAACCAAGATTTATGTGTTTTGAAATTATTTATTTCAATTTAGCATCAGCATTTTCTTAATGTCAAAAATAGATTTTTATGGCAATATTTCTCAAGTTTGTATATTAATGACTTAAAAGTACATTTTTAAGACACACACACACACCGTTGTAGTTCTAGTTCTCCTTCTGATCTCTGAGGATTCATCAAATGTTAAGATTCTGGAATTTTATAATCATCTCACCAACCTTGTGAGGATGTGTACCCTTTATTTTTTAACATAGTTTAACATCTGGAAGAAATATTAACAACAGGTGCTGTGAGTCTTTCCAGTGAGTTTTTTGAACTTATTTTTAAAACTGATATTACAGGTATAGTGGGATTAAGTAATTACATTATTGTAACTAACACAGACTCCCATATTATACACAGAGTGCCCCCAACTTATAATGGTTTGACATATATTTTCGACCCACAATGGTGCAAAAACCATATGCATAATAAGTAACATGATATAGTCAACATTTTATTATAAAATAGGCTTTGTGTTAGATGACTGTTCCCAACTTTAGACTACATAAGTGTTCTAAGCACACCTAAGGTCGGCTAGGCTCAGCTATGATGATAGGTTAGGTATAGTCAATTCATTTTCAACTAATAATATTTCCAATTTATGATGTGCTTACTGGGTCATAACCCCATTGCAAGTAGAAGAGCATCTGTATTTAACAATTTTAATTAAATGCTAACAAGTGTGATGTAGACTTTTTTTAATGTTTGAAATAACTCTCGTTTTAAAGAACAGATTTGTTAAGAAATCTTGGAGTACTTCGGTTTCTCATAATAAATGATTGGTTTGTTACTATTAAATAGAAGCCTTAAAACAGCACCACTGAGAGTTCTGCATAATTTTATACTTGCATATTTTACTTGTAACCTAGAATACTCCAAACTTTCTGGAACACACAAACAATAAGGGAGGAAGGACCGTAGGATTAGAGTGAAAGCTTAGGAGAAAAATTCAGTCAGCTCCAAACCCAGAACCTCCTGATCAGTTTGATGGACATTAATAAACTGTGATTTTACAATAACATCATCATCTGCAGGTACTGTTTACAAAACTGCTTTTACCTTAAACTTTGTAGATGCTTACATTTTTTATTTGTTTGTTTTAAGATGATGTTGGTAATTTGTGCATTTAACTCTGTTCAGAACAGAGCTAAAAGCATCATTGTCTTCTTTCAGATTACACTCAGGGGTCTGACAGGAGGTTTTATTTATTTATTTTTTTAATACACTTGAAAAAAGGTTGGAGTAATCAGACTTTCATATATAACTTGGTGATTATCAAAGTCTAAATACACCACTAAGAATAATGATTGTGTCCTAGCCAGGTGGCTCAGTTGGTTGGAGCACTGAAGGTTTCGGGTTCTATCCTCAATCAGCATGCTTAAGGGAGGCAACCATCAATGTTTCTCTCTTGTATCGAAGTTTCTCTCCCTCTCTTTCTCCCCCTTCCTCTCTCTCTAAATATATTTTTTATTTATTTCAGAAAGGGAGAGAGAGAGAGAAACATCAATGATGAGAGAGAATCATTGATTGGCTGCCTCCTGCACGCCCCCTACTGGGGATTGAGCCCACAACCTCGGCATGTGCCCTTGGCCGGAATCAAACTTGGGACCCTTCAGTCTGCAGGCTGACACTCTATCCACTGAGCCAAACTGGCGAGGGCTCTCTCTAAAAAGTCAATTAGAATGTATCCTTGGGTGAGGATTTTTTAAAAAGAATGATTTCCCTAATAAAGTGGTTCTCAACCTTCCTAATGCCGTGACCCTTTAATATAGTTCCTCATGTTGTGGTGACCCCCACTTTCATTATTACAAATTAAACATAATTAAAGCATAGTGATTAATCACAAAAGCAATATGTAATTATATATGTGTTTTCCGATGGTCTTAGGCGACCCCTGTGAAAGGGTCGTTCAACCCCCAAAGGAGTCGCTACCCACAGGTTGAGAACTGCTGCCCTAATATATTCAATAAATATTTTTTAGGAAAATCTTAGTGGAAAAACTGCATCCTGCAAAGACTAGCTAAATGGACAAACATTATAGCAATGAGCTCATGCTGACCAGTCACCTCTTCCAGGCCTACACTATGGTAAACCTCGTCGCCCTTCCTCACGCAGTCATGGGTGCTTTTCACATGAAGGACTGCGTGCCACTCTGACGTCACCAATGCTAGTTAGTGGTTAGCTCACAGTCATAGGTCTAAGTTCAATTTCAAAACAGGGGCAGGTTTTGCTCTTTCCATGGTCACACATTACAACCTTCACTCCAAATTTCAATGTCCCAAAACTCATAATTGTGAGTGAGGCACCAAAATGCAAATATAAATTCCATGCCCTACTGGTATGTTAATAGTTGGTAACCTTTGGATATTTGCTCTCTACTAGGTAATGTGCTCATCGCTTTCAATGGATTGCCTGATTCAACCAGTACATAACTATCAATCAGGTTTTAACGTTGGCTCCATTTTACTGGCAAGCAAACCGAGGTACAGTGAGGTTAAGACTGTGCTCTAGATAATGCAATGAGCATAAATGGCAAAATCAGGATCTGAAGCCAAGCAGTTTACCAGCAGGATCTATACTCAACAGTGTCCCATGAATAACTAGCAATTTAGTTCACAGTGACAGTGAAAAAATTATCTATAGCCCGAGAAAGCATTTTACCTCACAAACTTGATGGGAAAAAAATTATAAACCCATACTACTAAAAAACAAACACACACAAAAACAAAAACAAAAAAATACTACAAAAAACCCCCAAAAAATCCATACTTCGAAAAACAAACAAAAACAAAACAGCCCTAGCTGGTTTGGCTCAGTGAATAGAGCGTCAGCCTGGGAACTAAGGGTACCGGGTTTGATTCCTGTCAAGGTACATGCCCAGGTTGTGGGCTTGATGATCCCTAGGGGGAGGTGTGCAGAAGGCAGCTGATCAATGGTTCTCTCTCACTATTAATGTTTCTATCACTCTCTCCCTCTCCCTTCTTCTCTGAAATCAATAAAAATATATTTTTTAAAAAACCTAAGGTTTTAAAAATAAAAAAAAAACACACACACACACACCCCATACTATTAAAAAAGAAAAGCTTAAAAAAGGCTAGTTTTTCCCTCAGTCCTACTTCACTGCTTAGCATAGTGCCAGACTCATTGTAAGTACAAAGCATTTGCTGAAGGAAGGAATGAAGCGATCAGGCCTGAGGAGAACAAAGAGAGATTTTGCCTGGCATCATCACAGAGTTGAGTACAAGGTCACTTACATGAGATGACACCTGTCTTCTGATGAGGGGAGTTTTCTCTCTTCCCAAGGTACAGCATGCAAAATGCTGTTCAAAGTCATCAAAGCCTGTTCAGAGTTAGAGAAAAGCATCCATAGGGAAGAAACAAAACAGGGACCAGTGCACAACCTTCTCTCAGGTTTCTACTTTGTTATTTGCAACTTACCTCTTGTTGAATCAAATGATTTACTGTCTTTTCTGTCACCAGAAATCCTAAGGTAAACATGAAGGAATACAACATCTGAATTTTCCCTGAAAATATAATTTTAAAACAATCAAATGGATGCCGGAAAGAATAAGGGAATGCCTCCTACACTGCAGGAAAAGGCAAAGACTGGAAATTACATAGTCTGCGTAAGACACCTGCTTTGAGGTCTAGAAACCACCAGGCCACGATACGCTTCCACTGTGCAGACACCCACCAAGGAAAACAAGAGCAGCAATGCAAAGTGGGACTGTTGAGATTCACAGCTCAGACAAAGCCACTTTGGTCCAGACTGAGCCATGTGTAAAGGGCAGTTCCTGCACAGTGTCTTCCTGCTTCTATGTGTTTCTTACATTTACAT